TTCGCTTCATGAAGCGCGAGAACGTTCCTCGTGGAACAGCACCATCTTCATCGGTAGACCAATGTTTGGCAAATCCATCTCGAATCGGTGCTATTGCGCGAGCAAAGAGTAATGCTACGACGTGTACGATCTCATGGGGCTGTATATCCTTGAACTTATTCAGCCCTTCTGCAATATCCGCCAAATCAGGAGCACTGATGCGAGGATCCTTGGCCTGCCAAGCCAGCAACTTGTTCCTACGTGACGTGGCAATGACGGTGATATTCTGGGTTCTGTATCTGTTCGTCTCTTTGGCGATATGACTCCATAGTTCCTTTGGCAAGAAGTAAAAGAACATCCTCAATGGAGAATCTTCGTACGCAACTGCAGAGCGCGTAGACCCAAATTCCCCGTCATAATAGTCCGCAGCTGCATCAACTTGAAAATCCTCTACATTGTTGCAAATATGTCATATACAGATTTAGTTTATATGCGTTTTAAGTTATTCTGTGCTATCCGGGCTTACCGCTGTGCTCTTCGTCATACGTCACCCATCCATTTCCAGCGATATCACGTAAGGCATCTTCCGTAAACCCCAACAGCTCAGCTTCAGAGACGTCTTCAGTCATTGGGACATCTTCAACATCGTTGGCACCTTCTAGAGAAGACGTAATCACCTCATTGTCTTCCAATATCCCATCATCATCTGCATCTGAATCGGAATCGCAAGAGTCAGCGCTATCCACCAAGTTCACATCGTCATCAGCTGTCGGGCCAAACAGGGGCTCTTTTCGGAGACCCTCCATGAAGTTATCGCTGTCGAACACGTCCAAATCAACGAAGTTTTCAGTATCGTTCAGATCGTCGCCCTCAGTTTTGCCTTCTTCTTCATCTGTCGCGTTCTCCCTGGGATGCAATTCTGTATCATCCTACACAACATCATCTGCTCCATCATCTTGTTCTGTAGCATCTGTCATACCGGCTGGTTCTGTCGCTTGAGATTCAACTACTTTCGCGATAACCGCCGCCGTATGCGTATCATCAGGTGCTGAACCGAGGGAAGCCGGCAAAGAAACAGTCGCGACCAATTCCTTACTCGCAGTTGTGGCCGGCGCCACTGAAGCCTGGATTTGTCGTGGGGGAAGGAACGCATGGTGGTCAACACCGATTGATGCATAAGCTCCTTGCTTGCCAATGGGTCGTCGGA